AGATCATTTCTAGGGGCTGCTGAGCGACGGTAACTTGCGCGTCTCCATCGATCAGTGTAGATACGTTGCTAACTTTGCGACTCAGCTGGGAATAAACTGGAAGAAATATGTTCATGATATACAAATATGTATATGTGATATATATAAGTACTGGTTATTGAGATCAGACTATGTTAGTTTGCTGCGAGGCAGGCTCAAGGGGAGGAAGTAGGTTTTACATGGAGACCAGAATTATAATAATATGCGTTTAAAAATTACTTTTTAAAGACAACACTTCCAAAGGCCAGTGTCCCCGTTGTTCTCCATGTACACTGAATTTCAAATTTTATTTTTATATATTAAAAAATTAGTTTTTCAATTTTTTTAACAAAAAAAATGAATTTTTTTAAATTCTGTATTCTGTCAATTGATTTAAGCATTGTCTCCGACTTTACGCAAGTGTGCGAAATTTCAGATCTATTGGACAGGTAAAGGTGTGTTAAATATCGAATATAAGATTGTAGCAGACAAACAAACAAATAAACAAACAAGAAGTGAAGTTAAAGAGAAGTGTTGTAAAAATCGTAGATGGTGAAAAAATCAGAACTCATTGGTTCTATTGGGGATCAAGCATAAATTGTTGACGACGGGAATACTTAAACAAGTTTCGCTATTTATACGTCAGTATCGTTTAGTTGAAGAATTATTCGGGGTATTTAGATCTTAAAATGCATTTTAGAAGTGATTAATTATTCGCAAAATTTACTTGAGTCGGATTGACTCATTTTGAATTGAATTGACTCATCAATTCAATGATGGTTGGAACGATTACAAAATTATATTGGCTCATGAAATATACACATTAAAATGAAAGAATGACATTATATTCTGATTTTGAAGATCATAATAAATTTAATTACGCAATTATTCTTTTAAAGAAAGTACGATATTTTTCCGTCTTCCCGAATGAATTCGTTATCTTCTTTGGTTTTTATATAGCACCATTGCTGAAACGATGCATCTTTCAACTTAATTGTTTTAACTTCACCGCTGCCAGCACGCGTAATTTAACATTCCTTTTCTTCTTCTTAGTGATGCAGTTTCCGCTGATTAAATGAAAAATCTGAGAATGCTTTGGTATAGAGCTTGCGGTTTAATAAATCCACACACAGTTTCGGACCAAACCATATCGGGGGAATATAATCGGGCAAAGCAACACATTAAATATACGTATACGAACACGAATTTTTTATTTCCGTGAAAGAATCCTTCAGTAATATCATTGCGAAAGGCTTCGCATTCGTGAAAAATTTTCTGTGAAATTTTTACTAACTTTAATTTGCGATTTATTCATTATTTTTGTCTGATTCTCTCAATAATTTCCTTAGAATCTGTTTATCAGCATTACTCTCAGTTTTTTAATTATTTCTCGCAATTTAATATTACAGAAAAAAAAACAAATTTAATGCTGTAAAAAAATTCTTGTATCAAATTGAGCTAATTTCCTAATCCGTCTTAATTATCACTGCTTCTGATCATTTAATAGGTCTCGAAAGATAATTGCTCATGTAGGCGTTAGGTGCATTGCTAATTTACTGGCCGTGTTCACTGCACTGTTGCAAATGATATTCCTAATCACCGGCCCGATATGACATTCTCTCCTAATGAGAGACGTTTCACGCTGGGGATCAAAACATTTCGCGTCTAGATATTAGGTTTTTAATCTCGTATATAGGTCTAGTAGCTTTATTTATTTCCATGAAATGCCTTGGAAATGGATGACAATTTTCGCGACGCAAATTAAAATTATAATGCTTGTATTGTGGAATAAAATTGTGTTTGCAGTGGAAACTATTACCACATCTGTCAGAATTTTACCTTGAAAATTAGAATTGTTCTAACTACTATTATGGGGAATATCGAAATTTAACTGGATGGTGAAATTAAGTTTCTAAAATGTCGAGAAAACTTTTCTATTCATGACAGGGTAAAATTACGAGTAGCTTACAATTGAGCTTATTTCATTTATGTTGTTCCTTATTTTGATTATTTACATGCGAATAATAACTCACTAAAAGTGAAAAGCATGTCATAATTGATGAGAAATTCGCGTCACGTTCGTTACAATGAAGCAGGGACTGCGGTCATGGAGACATTGATCACATTAAGTGGTTCTTTGAGGCTATTCCTCGCTTTGTTGTCATGCATTAGAATGAAATAGGGCTGCATTATCCGACAGTACCTGCACCGCTGCTCGTTTGTTTTTATGAGAAATGTTAGCAGCTGTCAGAAGCACTCACTGCCTCTCCAAGCCAGAGGCTGCGCGCAGCGGCATCTTCGGCTGTACAAATTGCAACGACAGGATAGTTTCTATTTTAAAATTGAATGATATTTATATTGGTCTAAATAAAAATCGCAAAACTGTTTTTATTGAAAAAGGTCGATAATTCTGGGCTTTAAGTTCTGAATATTCTTAATATATAGTCTATCAAACTATCATTGGGTGAAAAACGGGTGTTAATTCAAGAAAAAAAAAATGGCTTGGAACAGTGAACTTTTCTTGTTAATTTTCTGGAACGAGAGTATTTTAAGTGATGGATTTAATTTTCATCGACAAATTAACCAATCTGCTCATATGAATTTACAGATTCTTTAATACGATTCGATAAATTTCATTTAATTACCCTTCGCTCGTTTGAATGCAAGGACCAAAATGATCAAAACAGAAACGTTGTAGTTATAGACACTATGCAGTTAGTCTACGGATGTTACGCCGAGTATTTAAGTATCTCTTATTGCACTGGGCGATTTTTTTTAATCCTGTCGATTGATTTACTTTGAACAACTTTCTTATTATTGGTAATTGGTCTGGAAATTGAATATATCCCACATATTACATATGTTCCTCAACTTACATGGTTGCTTAAGTTTTCCCTTAAGAGGTGACCAATTATTTTCTGTTGTGGCAATGAAAGAGAAATTATTGAGGGTGACTATTCATCCTCCTTCTAAGTGGATGAAAAATATAGGAATGTTTAGATATTTTGTTGAGCAGAAGAAAATACATGTAAATCAAGCTTATGGAGTTTCAATAATCCGAAAGTAAGTTTCTATTACGACATTGAGCCAATGACATAAAAATCATTATTGTTAAAAGGGCGCTGTTTCGTTATCATAAAAATGCCATATCAACAAAATTGAATTGAAACTTTCTATTGAGATTTTAAATCTTGGATTTTTGATCATCCAGTGAGCTACGTAATACATTTATACATTATAAAGTCTGCCTTGACATGTTGTCAAAAAATGTAACTCTGTACTCACTGCAGTGAGTGACAGAGATCGCATTTTCTCGTCGACGAAAACGTGAAGTCACGGACAGAAAGACAGACAGACAGACATGACGAGCACATTAGCGCCTTTTTTCCATAAATGAGAAAATGCGCCAAAAAGAACAGTGATAGATGAAGTGCCATTGACACTAAATGCTTCCTCCGACATTGAAGTAAATTGCTTTATGCATTTTGTCTTACCTTGTTCTTACATGCTCTAGATCAAGTGAACAGTTTAAAATTCTAAAATTCTCGGCATTTTTCAATTAATTGTTTGAAGCCACACATGTACGCGTAGATGAAATTTGTATATTTGTAAATTGAAAGGCAACTCAAGCAATGTGAATTAAGTAATGAGATATGAACAAACTGTAATAAAATTACTCCGTTGTAGCGACACATTTTGTGCACAGTGGGAAGTATGTAATAAAAAATAAAATTTATTGTGACTTCATGTCATGTACTTCAAACTGACGGATTACATTAATAAAAAATATAACTCAGTACTCACTGCAGTGAGTGACAGAGAGCGCATTTTCTCGTCGTCGAAAACGTGAAGTCACGGACGGACGGACAGACGGAAGGAAAAACGGACGGAAGGACATGGCGAGCACAATAGTGACTTTTTTCCATAAATGAGCAAATGCGCTAATAATATTACTCGATTATGCACATTTACGTCCATGCAAAACAATATGTACGATTGTCTCTACACATCAAATTTAGTGAGCTTGGTGTCTCATCTTCGAGCTTATTTGTTCTACTTCAGAGATTTAGAGACTACTAGTTACCGTTATATAATGCTCAACGAAAATTGAATGTTATTTTACTATTATTTGTAAGGACAAACAATTTGAGTCAACTTCATACCAGTGACAAATTTAACTGATAGCACCAGGCTTATTCTTCAGCGCCGACAGCACCATGATACAGGGTGACACAAAAAAAACAGAGCTCATAAAAAGTTGAATAATTTCCACAATACTCAAGTAATCCTGTTATTTGTTTCAGATTCATTAAGAAGACGGATTGATCTAAGAGTCTACCACGTGTGAGCTTCGAGATGCCTTGGACTACAGAGCAAAAGACATTTGCAGTTGTAACAAAGAGTTTTTGTGGTATAGAATTGAGATTTTGCAGATGTTGGCTACATAGGTTGTACATAATTCCATAGAATTTTTGTTTCAAACTGAATAAAATTTCAGGAGTTATAAGACTTTTAGTGAGCTCTGTTTTTTTTGTGTCACCCTGTACAATGTATAAGATACTAACTTAATGAAGAATCTAAAAGCAGAAATAAAAATCCCAATCCCATGAAGATATATGCAAATACGTTCATGGAAAGCCTAACTTAAATTGGTTTGAATAAAAATGTGTTTGATTTATATTTGCATTATTTCGCTGTTTAATATAGTTACAAAGTTGTTTTGGTGTCTTTTTCCATGTGATACCACTTCCACGACAACTGAGGTTACAGCGATAGTACTGCTTAAAATTTAGTTTTTATAGTTCTTGGTTCTTGGTTCATTCTATAATTACGATGTCGATTAATTAATTATATTAATTTAATAATTATAATATAATTAATTATAATAATAAAATGTAATATAATTATAATTAATTATATTAATTAATTATCGATTAATTAATAATTATCGATTATGATTAAAATCATATTCAATATTCCAGGTTGCCTGAATGCTGGGGTTCGACATGAGTAGAGGAGCAAGAAGCACAAAAGTTTTTCATAGGAGGGGCAGCGTTGGTGGTTGTGGGGGGGCGGTAGTCCGCAATGCCCCTCCTCACAGCCGAAAATGATGACATCGAAAGAGAACTTTATTCCCTTGGCCTGTCCGATGACAATCCTCGGTCCCAGCGCCCGATTGTGCCCGGGATCTTTCCCGCTTCCCCGGCGCTGTCCATCGTGTCCGGGTTTTCATCACTGCCGCCGCAAGAGCCCCGGAGCCACAGCGCTCCGGCTCCTTTGTATCCGACTCAGTCAATACATAGCGGATTCCACAACGTCTTCCCCATCCATGACCCGTCGGCTGTCCATTATCCTGGACATGTTTACCCTCAGGATTTCTTGACCCTTCCTAAAGACCCAACGCCCTCAACTGCATCTTATTTTCTCACACAACTTCCCATAGCCCAACAGTCGATACCGCACTACCCACCTCAATTTCCACTACCTCGATCTCCCCACTATGCCCCAGAACTTTGTTACCCTTCGTCTTATTTTGCATTTCAACCTGATATCCATCCTCCAATCCCAATTGAACCTCTTCCAATGTCGCACCAGCAACTCGTGGTAGCGAAAATCGAAGCTGCATTGCGAAGATTGCAAAAAGAGCTACAAGATTCCTATCTTCTTTTGGACACCCATGGGTCTCCTCCTCCACCTCAGCCTTCGTCTCCTCACTTACGGGACCCTCCACCATCGCCTGTTCCGCCGTACGATAATTATAGCCCTCCTGGTCCATCTAACAGACCGGACAATGGAAGAAAACACTATGATAAATATCCTTATGATGATGGTTATACAGGACCGAAAGATCCATACCCTTCTGAATTTCAAAATATCTCTACTCCAAGTGGGTCTTATGTAGGCGGTAGGCATCGACGTCATCCACCACTGCGGAAGCATAGATCACATCCTGAACAAAGGCAGCTCGATCACTTGGAGGCAACTGCTGTTCCCATTCCCCAAGTGCAAATTCAAATGTGGCCTCAAATCCAGCAGCAAGGTACTTTATTGGAGGGTCAGCAACATCCTACTACAATTGTGGACGAAAACAACGCTTCTAATCTATCCAGGCGACTTGGGTTCAAACCTATCCGATACCCAGATACCACAGCTGCTGAACGAAAAGACACCTCAGAGCTGAAAAAATCTCATAGTACCGAGAGAACGTTAGGCAATATTGAGTCCGAAACTGATCGTTCTAGATCTCATAGTGATGAAGTGAAGCGTTCATCTTCAGATTCAAAATCTGAACAGAAATCGGAAAGTGCAAAGTCGCACCTCACCACATTCCAGGTTGAAGTAGAAGTTCAAGCTCCTGGAGATGACAACGTACACAACGTACCCTCGCTTTCTACTCGATCTGAGTCTACCCATCAGTTGAGAGCACCAGGCTCTGAACATGACCATGGTCCATCTTCATCGTCTCTGCCACTTCGACCCCAGTCAAAACACGACCAACCCCAACAGGCTTACTACGACCTGGAGAGCGATCCCTACCAACAACATGATTACATACATGTGAGTGAGCCCGCATTACAAACAACTCGAGTTTCTATAGATCCGTTAAGTCGTAAATTTCAGCACCTCTTGGATGAAGATCCCGAGTTTTATCAAGATTACCACGAGTATCAACGGAGTCGTCATCACAGCTTCCATCATCCTCACCGCCACAGACATCATCACTATCACCACCATCACGCTCAACATCAACATCGTCACATCACCAAACAGAGAAGCGAGGGAGATGCGGAAGCCGAGAGGCGCAGAAGATCGACATCTTCTCTCAGAAGGAGCAAGGTCGCGAGCAGGGACGACATCGATAGAGTGAAGGTGAACTTAAACATAAATAAATGCATAAAATTACGAATGTATGAGTTAGACGCCAATCGTTTACATCAGTTTGCAATCCCTAAATAAATAATAGTTTTCTAATGACTGATGAAGTTGAATTTACCATGTAACCTGTGCTAAAGCGATGTAAACTATCTTAGGAGTACAAGATATATCAAAAGACAGTTATTTATAATAATTTAACGATATTTTCTGATACATACTCGTGTTCTCAGCTTCCCCGTAAGTTCCCAGGAGAAGGCGCAGGAGGCACGATGATCAAGCGCATCACCATTCAGAAGGACCCCAACCCGATCATGGGCTTCGGCTTCAGCATTAAAGGAGGCAGGGATTTGGGTGAGTTGAGCGATTCTTTATTGCTTGTGTGGATAAGTTGGCATTCGAGGACTGGATCCGACCCATACCTATTACGATTAGTTACCTAACGATTATTTTTTACGTGGTTGTTTTATAATTTTAAATATGTGCCTCAATCTGCACGCTAAATTTGTCCAGTAAACTGGATCATAGATTCAGTGAAGATCTTTCGAATTATCGAAAGATTCTTCAAATTTCCATTTTTGCTCAGCCCGCAGAGAATTTCATATTCAATAAATCTGTTTCACGAATATTCTTCCTGGCAATTGATACTCATCCTTATTCTCGAAAAATGAAAGACACAATTTTTGTTACTAGTAGTTAACCTGAATACAATACGCAAGTCTTTTTTTGCCCCTTGCCCCAGCCGGAAGAAAGATCATTGCCAAAATATTTACTTGCAGGATCTTCGTAAGACAAATGTCCCATTCAATGTTGTTCGATGAAGCCAGAGTGCGTTTCTAACATTGCAGGTGCAAAGCCTCGCATCAACAACTGAAGCTTCAAATTTAGATTGAAGGTCGAAGCTAGAAATGAGAAATTCCGCGCTTGTTGATCCATTGCCGCGACGTTTTGATGGAGGTTTTCTAGAAGAGCCTCTCGCTTGGGCTAAATACTGCGATGTTGACGCGCTTGTTTTTATAGTTCCATCGAGAGATTGTTCTTATTTAATAATTACATTAACTTGATGCATGAAGCATACATTTTTATGTTATAGATCTCTACCTTTCTCGGTTGGGGTTCATTTCAGGACTTCAGGGTTGAAATCCGGTCTATGAAGTTGTGATTTACCACCATTACTGTCGCAAAACGATTCTTCTGTTGCAATGCCAAGTTAAATTCAAATGATATATTATAAAACGATTGTGCGCTTGGGGATTTATATTTTTAATCCCTTGGCTTGAATTTTAATGATATTCATGTTATTTGCCTCTGTTTGCTTTATTTGGGAACGAAATTTGCGAAACTCACGGCTTTGACGGTTGCCATTATTTTATAACATAGTAAAATTTTTGAAGGGATGAGAACAGCTACAAGATTTCAAATGCGGGACGTTAAGACGGGAAAATCAGCACACGAATGTGTCAACTATTGTGTTCACTATTGAAAAAAAACATTAGAAACATCAGTGTAGGTTAAATAAAAGCTGATGTTTAACTGTTAATTCTTAAAAAAACATTCCAAACACGACGCGTTAACTTATCGAACGAAACCTGCTGTTTGCGAATGAATGAAATGCGTGCATGAATAAATAAGAAAATACAACTGAATTAATCTTACAGTCAATGTCATTGTCGATCTAAGTATAACTTAATACTGGGACTGAAAATAAATTTCACAATTTCACTTTCAAATTTTCGCTTCTTATCTGAGTTCTTTTCCCAATGCTTCAATGATATTTTAACTGATATGCATGAATTTTTCTGATAATTATTTAACACTCACATTTCTCTTCACAAATGAAAGTGTTTCATTCACTTCTGTGGCGGGTATAATTCATTAACCATCCCTCGAACTCTCATTTTATTATTATTTCTTTCTCGTTCATAAATTTCCTCGGATCTGTCGTCATGTAAATTTTATGGAACATCCCTCAAACTCTTATTTTTAGCGCATTTTCTCATTTATGAAAAAAATGCACTATTGTGCTCACCATGTCCTTCTGTCTGTCCGTCCGTCCGTGACTTCACGTTTTCGTCGACGAGAAAATACGCTCTCTGTCACTCACTGCAGTGAGTGCTGAGTTATATTTTTTCTAATTTTACACTCACTGCAGTGAGTACTGAGTTGTATTTTTTCTAATTTTAGACTCACTGCAGTGAGTACTGAGTTATATTTTATTATTATTTCCTTCTCGTTCATAAATTTCCTCGGCCCCGTCGTGATGCAGGCGTAGGTGTGTTCGTGTCGCGCGTAGAGCCCGACGGCGCGGCGTGGGCTGCTGGCCTGCGCGCTGGCGACCTGCTGCTGGGTGCAGGCCAGGCGGCCTTCAGTGCCCTCACACATCGTCAGGTTATACAGGTTAGTACCCCATGCATCAGACGGTTATACAGGTATGTGCCTTCCACGATCCGACAGGTTATACAGGTGCCAGGCACCACCAGGTTATACAGGTGCCAGGCACCACCAGGTTATACAGGTTAGTGCCTCCACGCACCTGCAGGTTATAAGGCAGTTCAGTGATGTCTTGATGAGATAGCTCATGCTGGTCACTGATGTTCCACGGATTGACATGACATTGCGTTCCAAATCTCAGTACAAGAATTGCATAGTTTATATTCATCGTCAGTGTAAGACTGCGATAGACTTGACTGAAATGGATGTGCTGGACCCTGATTTGAAGAGATCATCTAAAATTTTGGCAGCCTGCATGAACCTTAACGCTTTATCATACAAAATAAATACGCGAACCTAAAGTGCGCGAAAGCAGACGAGATGTTGATCTGCACTGAATCAATGATACTTTTTGTTGTGCTTGCTCGTGCATGATATGATCATCATTTCCTCTGGCTGAACGTATGTAAATACACTCGTAAAACGCTTTATATAACCTGCAATCGATGCTTGCAGATAAACCACAGAAGCTGGTGTTCAAGATGCTCTCAACTCTGATCCATTCCTGCTCCTGCACGAATAAAATTTTAGCTATTCCGTATTATTGTTAGTAGGGTCTTCGTTTTGGAGGAAACGTATAAAATTATCGAATCTCATTGAGGAGTAGCATGCTAGCCATCAAGATAGTACCCTGCCAGTCTTATGAATCGTCAGTTACTGGATCGCGAATTTCCGATGTTATATTGGTGCTGCCATCACAATCATTCTTCTTAGTTGCAACAAGGGAAACATTGCTGAACAAAATCGCCTCAGTAAGTTTGTCGTTTGTCAATGAAATAAGTATAATATGTCGTATATAATAAACTCAATGTATCCTTTAATTTGCGGAGAATCTCTCATAAGGAACAATTCTACGCTTGAATATCTTTTTTATATGAAAAATTTATAATGATGTTGAGTAAATTGTCACCTCTTATAGGTAATAATGAAAAGCAGCTTAAATATCCTATATTTTATGTGGTACAAAAAATGTGCTTCTACCGAGTCTGTAGTGCGCTTGCTTGCATTAAGAATGATACGGGGCTAGGGTTAAGTACCGAGAAACAATAGAAATTTCAATATATGTATATGCTTCAATCTTTGCCATATATTTTCAAATTTCTCCCCAGCAAACGAAGAAAAATTTTTTTCACTTGTGGCATCTCTGACAACGCCATTGCAAAACATTCCCTCCTCAAAAGAAGGATATCTAGGATTCATTTCATTATTGAATTTGAAAATTTCCAATGTAATTGCTATTCTCCAAGAATTCTCGGGAACACTTCGGACGATCTCCAAGGCTTCTTGACTTTTGCTTTGCTCAGGCAACTCACGCCTGGAAGTAATCTGGCTTTTCTGACCAGAGTTGTGTTAAAGTCTGACCTTTTCCTGACCAGAAGTTCAATGGCTTTTCGGGATGAGGCCACTTCGTGTAGAGCACATAAACGCGAGCCCTCCACGAGCCAGGCTTATCGAACGGCGCGATCACTGGCATTAATCGAATTGATCGTTTGATTGCCAGTTGCTGAAAACTGGTAGATGTATGTATTGATCTAGAGAAACAAAAATGGATTAAGGACAAAATAATATGCATCATAATATCTTAGTATAGGTTGTCAAAAGTTGCTCCTTTAAGCAGGTTTCATTGAAGACCAGAGAATTTGTTTATTAATAATTTATTATTAGATTTTTTTTCAATAGATCGAACAACATTTTTCGTTGGCACTGGTAATTCGAAAATCAGAGTACCGATGGACATTTTTATTTCTTTAACAACGTTTCGAATGTATCAATCATTCATTATCAAGTTACAAGCCGCATTGAGTGAATTTGTGAAAAAGTATCATTGTAACTTGATAATGAATGATTGATACATTCGAAACGTTGTTGAAGAAATAAAAATTCCATCGTTACTCTGATTTTTGATTTACCAGTGCCACCGAAAAATGTTGTTCGATCTATTGAAAAAACTACTAAGAAAATTGTTAATAAAACGAATTCTCTGGTCTTCATTGAAACCTACTTAAAGGATCATAATATTTATGCATATTTTGCATGACAAAAAATATGCATCGTAAGTCATATGAAACGTACTAGATTTCACATGCTAATAAAATTATCAAATCATTATCGAGAATGAAACTGATGACCTAGGTATATAATATTTCGTTAATATGGTATTGTGGATACTCGCTCAAATGGCCCTAAGATTTTGATTACAGTGCCAGGCTTCAAACAACCAAACCAACACACAAACTTTCACTAAGTCGTAATTGATTTTTGAGGCATCTTGATTATATTTGTATTATTCGTATAATTTGGTTATATTGGATATGAGTTCGGCAATCTACAATTCCAATTTATCAATCAGACAACATTTCGGTGATTTGAATTTGCGCTGCGCAAACTTCTTTCTCACTATCGTATTATCTTTTTTCTCCAGTCAAGCGAATTTAAGCCAGATACGCTCAAACGGCCATTTTACAGCGAACCACAATTTCACCCACATTCTGAGCTCCCATTTAACAAATTAACTTTTTAAATAAATAATCTGACCCTAACTAGCACTTGAGTAGCCCTAGCACTAGCACCCTGACTAGCACCACACTACCCTAACCAAACTTTGGAGCTAGTATTCTCCAATCATTCGCTGAGCTGAGACGCCACTCAATTTTTGGATGCTTGCCGAGGCTAAAGTGAGCTGAGGCCTCGGCCTCTTCTGCGGAGTACAGTGGCCTGGACGTTGATGACATTCTCCTGGTTGCCTCAACTAATGAGCTCTAATAGTTAATCGATAACTGTTTATGAGATTGGTGGTAATAAATAATCATTTAAATTTAAAAAGTATATTGTTAGGAAATATTCAGTAACTATGAGGTAATGGTCTTCTGTTTCACTTGAGTGAGACAAGCTTTGAGACAAGCAATGAGACAAGCTTTCAAAACAACAATCAAATCCTTCGACAACCTTTTACCTGCATAAATGATTCTTATACTAAAATTTGAGGGATCAGTGATACTTTGTGGCATGGGTCCTCCGCGCAAGAAGCGCCGTCTCTTCAGACGCCATGCATTTTACATCAGGGTAAGCTTTTAACGTACTTTCTGCATGGGCTTTTTGCGCGTATGTCAACCCTAATTCGGTACACGCGTCATGCAAACCTCCCCTATAGGGGCTAGGGCATAGGCTCCCGTGCATTTCCAGGAGTCCATTGCGGTCCGGTAGACTTCAATTCCAAGGGCTTGGAAGAGATCTCTTTAGAATTTCTTTCAGATTCCTTGATAGGCCTACGTATAAATTATTAGTTGAAGTGCTGATGAATAGCTGTAATATTCATGGTATGATGACGTTTTTGATTCGCTTTAAGGACTACGAACATTATAATTGATAGTTGCATTGTCACTATTGAAATATATTAATATAATCGTGCTGATGATTAATTTAAAGATAAAGGATAAGGAAGCCAAATAATATCAACAATACCACATACTTCACTAAATTTTATACAATCTTAGGTAGGCGCCACATTTTTCAAATAATAGTTCATCTTAGTTGTCCATGTAACAAATATACTGAAAAGAAGAAAGCTGTCATAATTCGTGTTTCTTATAAATTCTTACACAGCCGTTGCGATGTTGGGGCTTCCGAGTGACCGACAAATGATCTGAATTGGATTTATGTATTGGTGTTACAATAAACTTGACAGTCATGAAAGTAAGACTCGAGTTTACTATCTTAGTGAAATTTTTAAGCCTTTGACAGCCCTTCAGGCATAATTTATTCAGCTGCCATTGCTGAATAATTTTTATCTATTAGCACAGACTCGGTATTTTAAAGCATAATCCGAATAATCCTCATTAGTCACTTTACGTATTATACTAGTGAGGCAATCAGTGTTAACATATTATTATCGACATATTACTCTAAAATAATAACTTCTAAAATCATGTTCGGTTTTATCTGTAAAATTTCGTGGACGCTTTATTATCAGTAACATACGAAATATCAAGCGAGCGAAATTCATCATGACTGCCGATTTTCCGCTCATTAAATCTCTCGTGATTCATATAATATTTACAAAGTTGATGATCGACGCTGTGCGAAGAGCAGTGAAGGGTAGAATACATTCTTATGGCAAATATACGTTGAGAAAAACTACAGGAATTTAATTTTGATTGGCATCGTCGTATGACCGAAAGTTCTTGGATAATTGCTAACAGGCATTCATTATCTATTGTCACATCCGCTCCGCATTGTAAAATTGGTGATTTTTTAAAATTGAAAGTACATTAGAGTCGTGTAAGAGGTTTCCACTCGACTTGATGTTGGTTTCAGCAGGCACAGAACTCTGATTTCATTTAGTGTAGGAAATTTATTTGCCACAGCGGTTCTACATGCGCTAGCCCCATACTTTGGAGTCCAAAGCATAACCAGGTGCACGGTTGCCCAGGGTGTGTCCAGTTGCTCGTGACACTTGGCTGTTCTTGACAGTTGGTTGCTCATGATACTTGGCTGCTCTTAGTGAGTTGTTCGTGGTACTTGGCTTCTCTTGTAACCCGACCGGCCGCAACTCTCCATCAACTCTCCATTAACTGCAGCTATTTGTCTACCATAACTGCGTAGCAAGAACGTGTCACTTCGTGCTGCATTGATGTATCCCTGAAGCGTGAGTGATCTAAATTCTAAAGAACCAGACGGTCCGTAAAATGAACATGGTGCGGACCGTCGGCTTAGTGTCTTCAGACTAACTTAAACGAATTAGAGTGTTACATGAATAAATTTACAGTTCATGGTTTCGTAAGATATGTAAAGCTTCTCTTCAAACTTGCTTAATTTTCTCTTTCTGACGGGAATACGAGGTGGCGATGTGCCACTGAAATAGAAAATCTTCCTCGACCTCCATCACAAACTTCA